TGGCGATATACTGATAGAGAGGCATGTTCGAGGCGGCAGCACGGCACGCAGACAGCCATAGAACGGCGAGGATGGCGTTGGCACCGAGCTTGGCCTTGCACCAGCCCCACTCGTTCTGAGTACCGTCCAACTCCTCAACCATAAACTTATCAATACCGGCCTGATCGGTAACGTCCTTGCCGATGATAGCGGGGGCAATGACCTTCTCGACGTTGGCGACAGCCTTGAGGACACCCTTACCCTGATAACGGGCCTTATCACCATCACGGAGCTCAAGAGCCTCGAACTCGCCAGTGGAAGCACCAGAGGGGCAGGCAGCGCGGAACATGCCGTCCTTAGTGGTAAGATCAACCTCAACGGTCGGGTTGCCACGAGAATCGAGGATCTCACGGGCCTTAATGGAGATAATAGTCGACATTATTATTGAATAGAAGAAATATCAATCGAAACTGCAATGATGTAATAATGACAATGCACCACTACGATGATATGCTGTAACATTCGATGATACGAAGCTGCTGAATGAACGAACATCCGCTGCAGCTGAGGCCAATAACCTTTAGCTCGCTTAATAAGCGGCGACGGCGAATGTGTGGATGACAAGAGTGTTGTGACTATTCTGACTAGGATGATGTGGCTTATGGGAATTCCATAGAGCTGAGATGCTCCGGTGCGCCATAGGCAACCGAGTTGATTAAGGTTGAGTCGCCTCAACTCTGTCCTCGATCACTCTCATGACTATACACTTCTCTCTGATCCATGACGATCATCGGCAATTGCAACTGAATCTGCCGAACAAGTACTAATAACCATAATAACGCTTTCAACCATTGAAGTTCAATGGGACATGCTCGTCAAAGTCGTAAACAACCAACATACTAACAGTCCTCTCTAAGCGGCAGAGGTCAGACTAGGAAGACGTCTAGCAAACCACCCCTGCGAGGGAGACAGCACACACAATACATACCTGCAGCAGTATGGTGGCAAGTCTCATCCTGGAGAGCAGTGCTCTTCTGACAATAACTGCGAAATGTGAGTTCAACCGAAATATAGCGCATGTGGATTATTCTTCACTGATACTCGAATCAAGTAACGGTGACAGTTTGCTTTTAGAGGAGCCGATTCTTCTTATTTACGGCAGCAGATATTAGCCAAGGCCCACTAGTAGTGGACCACTACTCACAGACAACTCAGGTGTCCACTGGTGTTTCCACAAGAGTGGTCCCTATGTTACTATGTACTGCATAGTCTACAAGGCGCGTGTATGCACCTGCCCGGTGCCCTAGCGGCCGCTCGATTCCCAATCTTTTCGAAAACTAAACGCTCGTGAGCGATTGCTGATTTGTAATCAACTGACCCTCTATCCGCATCCTCTTCCCACTCAGCTCGATACTCCGGCGCAACCCGAAGAACATACTGGAGTTACTCGAGTGAAGTAACGTGCTCTGAAACCATCATCGCGTGTGTTGGGGCCCATCCAAGTGACAGCCTACAACTCCAGCATTGCTAGATCAGCAACATTAAAGGTAATGAGATATTCCACAAGGCGATTTGTCTGAGCGCTTGAGTCACTTCCAACTCAACATTGTACGATAAAGACGAAAAACGAATACTACGGTCGAGGGCTCAGCTAGAGCCGAACCTTCCCTTCCCATAACACAGAAATCCAACACTGTTGAGGCCTTCAACTTGAAGGCCTAGAGTCAAAACATGATCCTTCATGAGCTACACTTGCACTTGTGGTAGACGAGCAAGTTCCCTGAGGCTCTCGATTAGAGAACTTCCATCGAGAACCAGCCACATGGCAAGTCTTGGTTGCTGAAACACATTTGTTGAACAGTTTAATGATCATGCTTCAGGAACCAAAAGCCGCGGTTTGACTGGAACCGAATAGCCGACGAGTGATGGAGCTTGCTCGATGAATAAAAGCCCAGTAGAAGAGCAGATATTCAGAGCTGCTTACCATGATCATGAGCCACTAAACTGATGTGCAAAAAACTCGGGGGCATCTATTAACCGTTGGGGCTTCTCGTGCATCGCACAGAATGGCCCGCAACCTGACAATGACGGTAAGTTTCGAAGGGAATAGCGACAGGTGAGATTCTTATAGAAACCTTTAGTATTCCGATAGTGTTCACAAGCTATGACCGATAATAACAACTACTTGTTAATGATAAATGGATAATTTGTCATCCCCCATGGGGATGGTCCCGGCCCCACATCGCCAGTGAAAGTGTAGCCTACAATTTGTGTCATGAACGCAACAACAAGAAAACCGTCTCTTACGGGCTTGTCCGATGGTATGACACTTATGCACGGTATCACAATTTTGCTGAACAGCTCAGCCTGAGTTAGGACTGGCTGCCTGCGAGACACGCTTATATTGCGTCGTCTCTTGCATTTTCCGGATACAGTTGTTACACAAGTGGAAGAAACAACCGCTCATATCCGCCTCGACAACCTCAAATACCGTTAGTTATGCGTTACGCATGGCCGGCTCGAAGTCTGTCATGAAATGTCAGACACCTGTGGGATAGGATTCCTGTCCCAGAAGTTCATTCCAGAAATCGCTGTGCGTAGATGGACTTCAGACAAAATAGTCTCCAGGGACAGAGACTACTCATAGTCGCCGCGACTCGGTCGTCCCAGACTCTCACGGAGGTCTCCCCGCTCGGGCGGAAGTTTGTGAGGTATCCCGCACAGAGCTCGCCCTCAGTCCACCGAAAATAGCTGCATTGGATGCTGGACATTCTGAGTTGACTCACAGCGAGTCGCTTGCCTCGGTTAATAGAGGATTACAAATTGTAATTTACTAGAGCTCGACAGGGCGACAGAGGCTCCGCCAAAGTTGGAATACCTCGACCGTCACCTTAGATTGATGCCGTTCCGCAAAACTGAATTTTGGATTTTGAAAATTCAGAGACGAAAGATGATAGTCATCAGCGTGCGGAGATCTCCACAACCTAGTTTGCTTTCCACTGTAGGAAAAAAACTCATCTAACCGTTGCCAACATCCTCGGAGAATTCCATCACAGGTCCTGGATGGAAAATTTCTTTAAACTAGCCCGCCATCAAAGTTTCAAAGTTTTATGATGAAACGATTTTGAGACAAACTGAGGAATTTCACATCCCGAACATTCATACCTCTCTCTCGCGACTGCTCATTGAGTGACTACAATCTGGTGGGTCTGTACAAATGACATTCGTCGAATGTCATACTACGCTCCGGCATATACAACAATAAGTACGTATACCCTATCGAAACACGTAGACAGCGAGGCACCATGCTCTGAAGACGAAGAATCCTCAGAAACCCAGACCGTCTCAAATGACACGTTTACGTAAAGCCTGAATTAGAACTGCTATTGGAAGTCACATCCCAGCGGATCATGAGGAGTGTTGCACCATCCACCCTTTCATTGAAAAGCACAAATCCTGATCTGTTTCCGTTGTGACACGAAATTCACTGACTCTTATTGTTGTTGTGTAGAACAGTCGCAATGAGAAAAGAAAAGTATCAGACTACCGCTGAATAAAGCAGCATCATTTTCTACCATAATCTATCGATTCATCACCAGAATGATAATAAAGACAGTAACAAATGAATGTTATTTTACTGGCAACGAGGGAAGTTGCGGCCCGCAGCATAGGTGGCCTTATCACCGAGCTCCTCCTCAATACGCATGAGCTGATTGTACTTGCAAAGACGCTCAGTACGGCAGGGGGCACCAGTCTTGATTTGGCAAGTGCCAAGACCAGTGACAAGATCGGCGATGAAGGTATCCTCAGTCTCACCGGAACGATGGGAAACCATGACGGTCCAGCCGGCGTTAACGGCCATGTTGTTGGCCTCGATAGACTCGGTGATTGAACCTATCTGGTTAACCTTGAGAAGAAGGGCGTTCACAGACTTCTCGTTGATACCCTTTTGGATACGCTTGGGGTTGGTAACAAGAAGATCATCACCGACAATCTGGATCTCCTTACCGTCCTTGGCGGTGAACTTGGCGAAGGTCGCCCAATCGTTCTCATCGAAGGGATCCTCAATGAAGACGAAAGGATACTTGTTCATAAGATCCTCCTGGTACTTGATGAACTCATCACCGGTCAACTCGGCATCGGCATGAGGCTCGGGGTTCTTGAAGTCGAGGTCATACTTGCCAGTCTTGGCATCATAGATCTCAGAGGCAGCGAAATCGCAACCAATACGGCAGGTATCCTCATGGCCAGACTTCTTGATGGCCTCTAAGAGGACGGAGAGGGCCTCATCCATGTCCTGAATATTGGGGGCGAATCCACCCTCATCACCGACGTTGGTGGCGTCCTGACCGTACTTGGCCTTGATCACCGACTTGAGCTCATGATAGACCTCAGAGGCGATCCTGATAGCCTCGTGAATGGAGGAAGCACCGCAGGGGACGAGCATAAACTCCTGGCAAGCAAGACGGTTACCAGCGTGTTTACCACCATTGATGACATTGAAGCATGGGCAGGGCATGAGGAACTTCTCAGTGTCCTTACCAGCAAGCTTGGCGATATACTGATAGAGAGGCATGTTCGAGGCGGCAGCACCGGCACGGCAGACAGCCATAGAAACGGCGAGGATGGCGTTGGCACCGAGCTTGGCCTTGCACCAGCCCCACTCGTTCTGAGTACCGTCCAACTCCTCAACCATAAACTTATCAATACCGGCCTGATCGGTAACGTCCTTGCCGATGATAGCGGGGGCAATGACCTTCTCGACGTTGGCGACAGCCTTGAGGACACCCTTACCCTGATAACGGGCCTTATCACCATCACGGAGCTCAAGAGCCTCGAACTCGCCAGTGGAAGCACCAGAGGGGCAGGCAGCGCGGAACATGCCGTCCTTAGTGGTAAGATCAACCTCAACGGTCGGGTTGCCACGAGAATCGAGGATCTCACGGGCCTTAATGGAGATAATAGTCGACATTATTATTGAATAGAAGAAATATCAATCGAAACTGCAATGATGTAATAATGACAATGCACCACTACGATGATATGCTGTAACATTCGATGATACGAAGCTGCTGAATGAACGAACATCCGCTGCAGCTGAGGCCAATAACCTTTAGCTCGCTTAATAAGCGGCGACGGCGAATGTGTGGATGACAAGAGTGTTGTGACTATTCTGACTAGGATGATGTGGCTTATGAGAATTCCATAGAGCTGAGATGCTCCGGTGCGCCATATGCTACCATCTGGGCTACCTGAGGCTGGGTTGCCTCAATTCTGCCCTCGGTTACTTTTACACTTCTCTCTGAACCGTGGCAAGCAACAGCAGTTGTAGCTGAATCTGCCAAACAAATACTTATTCTAACCGTGATAGAGGCTTCGACCATTGAAGCTTAATGGAGCATGCTCGGCGAAGTCGTGAAAAACAAACATACGGGCCATCCCCTTTCCATGTCCGAACCATCGTCCGCACATCATCGAGAGGGAGACAGCACACACAATACATCCCTGCAGCAGTACGGTGGCAAGTCTCACCCTGGAAAGGATTGCTCTTCCGATAATAACTGCGAAACCTGGAATATTGACTAGGCGTGTAAGTCAATGAAGTTCACCACGGGTTGAAGAACTCAGGAGGTGATAGCATAGAAACGAATGATTGCAGTTATTAGTGACTATCAGCTCTTATCGGTCTTAACCTCATCAGGAGTCTTGCACGACATACTCAATGCATGCACGGTACCACCCGGATTAGAGTCCATCTCATCGGACAGTATCGAGTACATTAATCTGAGAAGGAGAAATACATGTGTTGATCTATCGGTTCGTCAACGACTTGCGCGATTGCACCATCAGCCGCAACATCAGGGAAGCCCCCGTAAAATCAAGGCGGAGTGACCCAACACGACGATCTATTGTAATGTATATCAATGACGCTACGAAACTCCACCAGAAAAAATCTCAGACAACAACCATCGATTTAGGCATACGCGAATGAATACTGATGCACACGAGGACACTGCGAACACGAGGTGAGGAAATCTCATGATGTGGATATTGACGACGTAAAAACTCGCGAGGAGGTTGATCCCACTGATCGTTGGCCTACTTCTGACGCTGTACTCGATTGAGGCCTTTGAACTCATCAGACACGACTTCAACTCGAAAATGCGTCTCCAGGCGACCACTGCCCTGAGAAGAGAACAACCATGATAATGCTTATAGGATAATGACCGCCAACCCTCATAGGAGCATGTGAAGCATGCTTGGCCGAGTCGTCAATGATGTTGATGAGCGTTGGCTTGAGTCTGTCGGTCACCTTACGTAGTATTGCAGTATAGATCGGCCGCTGGGACATCGAAGATGATGATGGTGTGGTATGGGTGTGAGAAGACTAATAAGAAACAGCAAATCTAAAACACCAACCAAGAGAGTCAAACGAGTTTCTCCCGAAATGACAATGTGTGAAAATATGCACATGGTCAACTGCATGTGTTGGTGACAAGATGAAAATTGTGAGGAAATTTTGGGAAATTTTCGTTGGTTTCTCTACACTTCCACCCGAATTCTTATATAAACTTCTGTACTACATGAGAAAACCCCAAGGCTCAGCTAAGGAAAGCGGACATATATTCCAACACGCCAAAATGGTCAACCTATTAATACAAACGTAGAGATTACTTCTTTTGCCTTGGAGGCCTTCGTAACAGGATGACGAGTCGTCAAGGTGGTATCGGGTTCAAGTCTAGCATAATACAATCCTACTGCTGCTGCTGCAGCAGCTAGTGTTGTGAGTGCTACAATAACGACTTCTTTTCTCACGATGGATTTTGCTTCAGTGAAGCAAGACGGGGGCATTCAAGTTCGATTATCGAATCCTAAGTCAGTCCCGAGTTATAACTCGAATAAAAAATTCAAGACAACCTAAAAAGCCCTTGGAAAAATTGTGAACTACTCGCA